GCAGCCGCCGCTTGCCGCCGCCTCCGCCGCTGCCTCTGCTGCTCGGGCTGCTGCTGGCGGCCGCGGGGCCAGGCGCGGCGCGGGCCAAGGAGACGGCGTTCGTGGAGGTGGTGCTGTTCGAGTCCAGCCCGAGTGGCGACTACACCACCTACACCACCGGCCTCACTGGCCGCTTCTCGCCGGCTGGGGCCACGCTCAGCGCCGAGGGCGAGATCGTGCAGGTAGTGCCCGCCGCCCGGGCCCCGCGTCGTCGCCGTCGCCACAAGATGGCCCCGGGGGCTGCGCCGCCGACCCCGCCGTAGGCTGGTGGGCGGGAGGGCGGGCGGCGAGGAGGCCGACGCATCCCTCCCCGGAGGGCCTCGGGGAGCTGCAGCGGGGGCCAGCGCACGTGGGGGCCTGGCCTCCTGTGGGTCCAGAGGCAGGAGGTAGACGCAGGGCCGGGCACTCATCCTGGGCGGCCCCCTTTGAGCTGGTTGCACATTTCCGTCCACCTCAGGTGGAAGTCCCGGGAACTACCTGTTGAATGCCAACTTTGGAAGCACAAGTGTTACAAGGATGGGTAGCTTCTTTCAGGTCACGGGCTTTGCGTTTCATCCCTGCGTGCCCCTTTTGGGAGCGGCCAGGTTTGTCTGAGGGGCTGTATGCCATCGGTTCTCTCCTTGGAACCTGCCGCCAGCCTCATCTGGGTGCTGACCCTCGGCTGGGCTCTGGACCGGCAGCTGCAGGGAGGGAAGCAGGCGGAACTGACCAAGGAGTGGAGATCGGGGGTGCTCTGGAGTGGTAGTGAAAGGCAGCCCTCGTTGCCTGCCTCAGATTACAGAGGTTGGGAGGGAGGTCGCCTGCTCATCCCTCACCCACGGACTAGTGCGAAGGCCTTTCAAATCAGGAGCCAGGGTCGCTCACTGACAGGGCCTCCACCTATGTCCACTTTTCGTGGGGATTGACGACTTTCAACTGAAATCTCCGTGAATGGTTGGCTGGGTAGGTTTCCCGCTTCCTTGACTAGGACTTTAATCTTGCTAGTAGACGGCCGGCGTACTTTTGGCTGTTAATAGGCGTGCCTTTTCGTGCTAGTGCTTTGAAATGGTTTAGTCTTTGAGCCTTTGGGGGCCACGGCATGGCTGCAGGGCCTAAACTTCAGGACCTCTGCGCTTTACTGTTAAGAGAAGGGGGCTGTATGGAAAGACTTCACGGAGATGGGATAGCTTTTCCTGTCTTCTTCAGTGTAGACTTAGCGCTCTGCGTGGATAAGAAGGAACTGTGCAGTTTGGATCCTTGGAGATGTGCCCTTAACGAAGCTGGGGAGGTACCTGTGCCCCTGATTAATCAGCATTGCCTTATGGTGCCCTTTCCCTTATTTTAAACTTCTGTCTGGTGTTTGGAAGGGCATGTACACTGAATTCTATGACTGCAAATGTTAAACGCTTTTGGGCTTTTTTGCCCTTATGGTATTATTACTGTCCAACTTTTGGATTTTAGAAAGAATGCATTACTGCAAGATTTCTAAGCCCTTTGCTTGCAGCCTTCAAGAAGAGTTTGAATCTTAATCTTGCTCTTTGTGATTCCGCCCTTCCTTGAGGTGTTCACTATACCCTTATGTCTTTTTTTTGTTGTTGTTGTTTTTTGAGACAGGGTCTCTATTTGTAGTCCACACTGGCCTTGAACTCACTATGTAGCCCAGGGATTCTCCTCTTGCTTCAGCCTCCCAAGTGTTAGAATTACAGGCATGTGCGTCCTGTCCTTATAGTTTCAGAAATGTTTGATTTACAGCCCTCTAAAGGGTGAAAAGATGTCTTAGTGTGGCACTTCATTTTCTGGAGGAGACTTTTGAAGTTTGCGATTTTTATCTGCAGTGTTTTAACTTGTACTCCTTTTCCATGGTAGTTTGTCTGTAGAGCTATCCATTATGACTAGTGCTATGGTTTGGAGATAATCTTGGGTTCACCATTTAATACAAAATTAGCAGTTTAAACACATCATTTGTAACTATTTTATCCTTGTGAATAGAGAGATACTGTGTGAATTTGGCAGAAGGAACATATTCTCTTGAAGCTTTTTGAAGTGCTTATCTTTTTTTGTAGTCCATTAGGCTAGGCCCCTCCCCCTTCAAAGTCAGCAATTGCTAAGGAAAGAAAAATGACTTAAATAGTATTTAATAAGTTTACTTGTTAAGCAATCACTAATAGGTGTCCTTAATTCCCTTATAACTGCAGTACTATTGGTAGATTTATCTGAGCTGTGTGAATAGTCATTCCATGGTACACTCTTTAATAACTTTATTGTGGTGGCCAGCTCATTGAACTCTCTGTGTCTGTAGATGGAGCACAGTGTGGCTTTCAGAACTGTATTGTACAAAGGCTGGCGTGTATTTATTAGTCCTCCAAATACTGCCCTGATTTTTTTTTTTTTTTTAAGGAAAGCTGATGTTTTAGGACTGCTGATGGGGAATATAACTTTTTTTTGATTAGAAACGAGAAGTAGAAGAAAATTGGTGTTCAGCTTCAGATTGTGTTTTCTAAGTACTGTTGAACTTTTCAAAACCATCTTTTATTTACTATTTAAAGAACTGCATGATTTGCCATTAATACTTTATGGTCTTCAGTTTATTTTCTGATAATTAAAGCTAAATAGCAGTATAGCATTGCTGTTTGGATTCTGTAGCCTTATTGTTTTTGATTAAGGAAAAAAAATTGTTTGAAAGTCCCTCTCCTGAGCTGGACATGGTGATTCAAGCCTGTGATCATAGCACTAGAGGCTGACGCAGGAGGATTGTTGTTGGTTCAAAGCCAGCCTGAATTACGAAGTGAGACCCTGCCTCAAAAAAAGTTGTTTTCCTCTCCTTTAAGAATTGTGTGATTCTAAGATAAGAACTTGGTTTGTATTACTGTGGGGTTTTTTTGCTGTCATATGCCAATGAAAGTGTGTGTGTGTGTGTGTGAATCTGTTTATACAGTAAGGTACCTTATCATAGATAAGTCTGGTTTGCCCAGCTACTTCCAATTAGAATACCTAGTCAGTCATTTGCATTGGTTAAGGTAGGGGACAGCCTATATTGGGGCGTGGGGTTGGGAATTCAAATTTTCTGATTAGATACCAGAGACGTTGGTCTTTCCTTATGCATTTGAGACTTATGTAACTATCCCGAAGTCTCTAATGCAAGGTGCAAGAGATTTTTTAAAAAATTTAAATATCTCCATTTGTGAAAGTTGTGATGAATATGGAGATATGAAACTCCATTACTTACTTTATCATCTTATTCATTCAGGATTTCAGTTCATTTGCACATGAGAGTACCGGGCATACAGTTTGAGTGCTGAGGGAATTAATTACACATTTCCTGTAGTTCTGAAGTGTGGAACTTTAAAGTATTCTCAGATATATTGATACATATTTCATCTTTGAACCAATTTGTTGCTGTTAATGATATCATTATCTGAAACTTTTAGTCTTGGCTGTGCACCCCACATGGTTGGTGATGTTAAATAAAGACCTGATTAAACATTGGCTAGTGGTATGTGGATTGGTTAAACAAACCAAGAAAATTTGCATTTCTAGAGATGAAAGATTGTTTTAAAGTGGAAATGCATTTTTTTCCCTTGAAGTTTAATATTTAGAAATGCTTGAGAAGTTCATTTGTCAAATGATAGGTCCTGTGTAACTTTTAATAGCAACCTTTCTAGATCCTAAATTAAGGGTTGAATGAAATTGAAGCTGAAACATTGAGAACTAAATTGATTTTTTTTTTTTTTTTTTTTTTTTTTTTAGTTTCTGGAGGGTAAGAGGAAAGCTGGACATGGGTTAGAAAGGTTGATTGAGACCCTTACATATCTTTTATTAACTAAGAATATCACAGAGAATAATTTTCAGAAACTTAATTTCTTTGCTTTGTTTCCCTGTCATTGTGTTTTTGCAGTTTAGCATCTGATCACTTTCTTTTCATCTCCATTTCAAATTAACTTACCAGGTCTGCCTCTAAAAATTGACTTGGCCTACTAGAATGATTGCATACTGAAGCTGACCTGTATTTACACAGAAAGGGATTGCTAACTGTCTTGTCAGATGGGCCTTTATAGGTTAAAAGCAAACATTTGAATTGTTTTTTGGGGAAAATTAGGGCCATGTGTTATGTTCTTATAAATTAGATTCTTGTTTTCTATATTATACCCTGAAATCTGACGGGAATTACTAGTACAATTCTGCATAGGCATGAATGTGGGAGTGGGAGGGATGGGAAGAGTCTATAGTCTAAAGAAAAGATAGTGATGCACTGTATGTTGTTTGCTTATTGCATTATGACATTAATAAAGCATTAGCAACTATTGCTAACCCATTTTATAGAAGAGGAAATTGTGACTAAGGAGGGCAAAGGGAAGGTTCACTTCTCTAATCTTTAACAATGAGCAGATGGTCTACCCTGGATTGGAACTCAGCCTTCTCTACCTCCTTGTTTTTGTTTTTTGCCAAATAAGCAGAACTTGGCTGGTTGAAGTTTGATATTAATTCATGTCTAATTTTTAACACTGTAATACAGGAGCTTTTAACTTGAACATTACAAACCTTTGTAATGTTACCTTCCAGAAATGGTTGGTCCACAAACCTTTGAAATTATACATTCTTATGAACAGGCACTTCTATTTTTCTTTTCTTTTTTTTTTTTTTTTTGTTGCGGAACCAGGGGTTGAACTCAGTCCCTTGCGCTTTCCGGGCAAGCGCTTATTCTACTGAGCTATCTCCCTGGCCCCATTTCTGTTTTTCTGAGAAGACATAAATTTATCTTTTGGATGGTTTCTTAATGCTCCTTATCCCAAGAAGAAAAGAGAAGTTTTAATCTAGTCATTAGATAGTCTAGTACTACTAATTTCAGTACAGTGATGTGGGCCTCAGACAGGCAAGAATTAGAGGGAAGAAGTCTGTAGGTTTCCATGCCTCCATGGGCATTTTACACTTCACAGTTACCAAAGTGCTGTTTGGTGCCAGGCATTATATTGCTGTTGTCTTCTGGTGTTCAGTTTCTTATGGAGACAGACGTGGGCATGGATAAATGATAATCCTTTCCAACTGGATTTTTCCATAGAATTGAATCCTTAGGCCCTAAGGCATTCATTATCTATAATGAATTAACTTCTCTCCTGTTTGTCTCCTATTAGTTATGTGTCATCCTTGGTAGAAATGAGAAAATAATTATCTGTATTTCTTGGAGTGCCAGAAATGAAGTGCAAGA